ACCAACACAAGCACCTTTCTAAAAAGTTATTTTGTAGTCACAATAAATCTTTTGGGACAATTCAATATGATGATTTTGTTAACTTCTTGATTGCAGTAGATCTTCGATAGTCACTGAATCTTATAAATAACTCGATTAAATGTTAATTCTTTTTGGAGACTCCTTATATCATTTATTTTATGAAAATCTTTAGATGTTCTCGTATTTAAAACTAATTCATTCCCTTAATAAAGGTAGAGATCTGTTCATTAAGATTGATATGACGAGAAATAACAAGGCCATCATATCTCTTCCTGAAAAGTCGAACTAAGGTCATTTATTCAATAATAATTGAATTCTTGAAGTTTAAGATACTACTGCTCTTCATTGAATATTTACTATCCTTCTTGTTCCGATTTTGATTACCATTTCAAATCTTCTGTTATGAATTTCTTGGTTTTAAGTTTATTAATAAAGACTGGAGAACATAGAAGTATAAATGGATTTAATATCCAATAATTAAAAATAAAATAGAGTGATATAGAGTGTAATACTGATTTAAAGTCGAAGATGATATAATAGGATCGATATCTTGTCGGATACATCCACATTTTCTCATTTCTACCATCCTTTCTATACTTAATTTCTTTCATCAATGCTTAAATGGGAAATCCATTCACCATTCCTAAACTGATATGATCTAATTTTATTTGTACAAGAATGTAAGAGAATAAGAATGAAACCACAGTAATATCAACCATTAATATTTTTTGCTACTTTGAATCCGTTTGTTAACTCATAAAATAAAAAAGAAGCAATTTTGCGAAAATCGAATGCTTCTTGTTATTTCTGATTCCAGTTTTTACAGAAATTTATACTCACAGTTCAATTGGCTACGATAATTTTGCTGATCTTACTAATATTTTCCTTATATATTCAAAAAAATAATTTTCCTCTTCCAGGAACTAATTGAAATAGATCATATCGAGAAACTAATCAATCTAAAAGGTTTACGAATAGCGCAGCAATTGGGATCGTGCAGTGACGACCCGACGATCCCCGCATGTCAAAGGTTGTCTAGAATCGGTGATGAAATTGTTGAACAACTGGTTGAATGGACCAAGATGCTACCATTTTATCACGATTTACCTGTAGAAGTGCACACTCACTTGCTAACTCAACGATGGGCTGAACTGGTCTGGAATTATTCTTGCTTACTAAATATGTAATTATGATTATTTGCCTTCCTTATTTAACTATGTCCTCAACTTAGATCACAGATTTCAGGTATTGTTGTCAGCCTGCTTTTATGCTGCCTCAACAAGAGTTTCCAATCAAGACAGTTTGCCGGTCAGTTCGACAACTACTGATGATAGCGAAGAAGTATCGTTCGTTGATTCGTCCGTCAATCTCCAACTGCTACAGAAGCGATTATGTGCTGTCATGGGGAAACATATACCATTAGAACATGTCAACAAGTTTGTTTATTTTTTGAAATTAACTAGATTTGCATTGTCGTTATTGCTATGAATGTGGTCAAAGTAAGAATGATAAACAACAACAAATTATCAAAGTGTTTGTTCGTTACCATTTGTCAACAGACGCTGACATTACGATATTTGAAATAGTAGAAATGATTGAGAGTGCTTAATATTTTTGCAGTATTATTTTTGGCAGTCACTATCATTTTCTTAATTTGTTTTAGAGAGGCCTCACCCTTAGTTGAAAAATTTACGGCATTACTACATTCATTCAGTCGTTTGAAAATTACTTTGGAAGCGTATGTTTGCCTGAAAGCTATCACTCTACTACACTATACACCTCACAGTTGTGGTTTGTTCCATTTAAATAATTTTAATCCTGATATTTCATGTGTTATCCAAAGTTTATAATAATGTTCCAAAAATAAGTCAAAATAGACTCAATTTATTATTTGGCATTCTTGATATTTAGGTTTTTTGAAAAAGGCTTATCTTTCTTTAAAAATGGAAGGACAATAGAAAAGTCCTTACGTTTCCTTTTTTTTTTTGGATGCCATAAAAAAGAAACTTTATTTCTTTTAAAATCATTCAAAATCTACTTGAGGAACTGAAAAGATAGTGTTAACTCAGATTGTCGTGATGGTATGATATGAAATCTGTGAAAGTATAGTTCAATTTGTGAAAATGTGATAAAATGACTATGTAGAAAAGAGTTGAGAAGGATTTGTTATCTTTTTAACGACACTCTTAATTAAAACATTTCGAGCGTTTTTAATTCTGAACAAAAGAACTCATTTTCTTTGTCATCTTTCCTTTTTTCTTGATGCAATATAACAATTTTTGCTTGTCAGTATAATTCTAAAAACCATTATATGACTTCGGATTGACACAAATATTGAAAATAAAAGCAGAAATAAGAAATAAGCGATAGCCTGAGCGTTATCCACATGATATAGACCACTTTTTGATTTTTAGATGAAACAGCTATTGATGTGAAGGAATCAATGGTGCGCAGTGTTTATGTCCGGAGAGTATCTTTAATACAGGATCAGTTCGTGAAGGCATTGCAGATACATCTTAGCCAGCATGAAAATGGCGCACGACTAACTGATATTTTAACATGGTACATTTTTATTTTAGCTATTCTATATTGTTTGACACTGTAGAACTAATATTGGCTGTCAATTTATAGTATTTTTTAAGAAACTTCAAGAAATATAGCTTTAATTGGTTTCTAAAATATAATTTGCAGTAATGCTTTTAATTGAATATTTAAAACATTTTTAAGATCTCCATGTGATCAAAATTTTATAAAGCTTTCACAATTGTTTCACGACAGTTAACTTGTAATATATCGCTTAGTGGCCATTACAGGTTACCAATGTTACATTCTGCGTCATCGGTACTGTTACATAGCAAAATGTTTTATGTCCCTTTCTTGATTTGCAAAAATCCACAACAAATCAACAGTGACAATCGTAGTTCAGAAGTCCGAACAATGTTGTCACCATTTTCATGCCATCCTTCCGACACTATTACTGATGATGAGGAAGAATTGAATGCAACAAGCAGCTGTTAGATTCTGTTTTTCACAGTACCAGAAAATAACAGGAATAGAAATCGTACATTATAATGAGAAAGCAATCTCTAACAGCCAGAAAAGTTTCGAAAAATGGAAAAGGTCTGTTCCGCAGCACTGATTACACTTATGGTTATGAACTTAATTATTTAATTGTTGTGTCGTAATTTAATTGCATAAGCTTTCGTCTTTTATTAATTATTCAGTTACTTGCATAGTCTTTAAAGACTTGCTTGTTATCTCTTCTAAAATTTGATTCACTCAGTTGTATGATGTGCAATGATACTGCCTCACGATTTGTTCTTATTATCATTTTGATCAGCTGTACTTAAAAGTGCTCCAAAAGTCTTTCATTAACGACTTAAGCCAAACCTAAAAAATTGTTTCTGTCTATCTTTCTTCTTGTAAGCTATTAACCATTTATCTGTAACGTATATATAAGGAGCTGTAGGTTCAATATTGATATTAAGTCTTTTCTTTAGGCTGTCCAGAAAAGATTTTTTAATCCATCACTGAAGGAATCTAGTGTTTAGAACAGATTTTGATAAGCTAAATTCAAAGTCGTAGGTCGTTAAGATTCACTGATATAGCGATCGCAAGACAAACTGAGACTTTTTTTAACTTACGGCTCCTAGGGAGATGATATTTTTTCCATTCCAGAAACATAGGCGGTCGTTTTTTCTTTTTTTTTCCTTTTTTTTTGAATTCCTGAGATTTTGACTGAAAATATTACATAATTGATTTTATTGATAAAATGCGAAACTTCTGAAAAATGCTTTCCTTATCTTTAAGGAATGCGCTTTTTTGAGGATTTTTAAATATGCATGGTTATATTTTTGAAAGTAAAAATCATAAAACGTGTAGCTCGAATTTCCACTTTTTCAAATCTAAATTGTATATTTTGTACTATCTGAAATTTGGTTAAGTTAGAGAATATTGGGCGTGGCTCCTGCTAATTTCCATTAGCGTATAACATTGATTGTAGTGCTTTTGCGATTTAGAAAGTAGTCGTAAATATGTTTATATTAATTTCATTTCATTTTTAGCTCCTGTACCTCTAGTCCATATCCGGTTTCGCTGTATTTACTAATAGTTCTCTAAAAATGTGCAAACATTTCATTTTACGAAGTATCTAGAATGACTTCATTGAAGGAACTAACTGTGTATTTGCTAAAAATCCTATTTGTTTTCTTTGTCTTTTTCAAAATTTATTTGCAGTCGTAAGAGTGTTTTGAGAAGTTCTTTTTGTCTTTCTACTATTATAAACCAAAAAAGAATTAAATTTATCATTGTGTATTATTTTAATAAAAAATATTCATTGTTATTTTTTGATACTGTTAACTGATCACTGATAGCTTAACAGCAGAGAAATTGTATATTGCTGGTTCCGTAGGATGAGTTTCAGGAACTTCTGCTAAATAATAATTCAAGACTTTAGAAGTCCTGATGTCTGGATTCGAGGCATTAGAAAGAATTCAAAAAAGAAAGCTCAAATTATTATTAACAAATTTAGTAATTATGGTTTCCTTCAATACTTTCATCCAACGTACGGTGAATTACAATGCTGAACTTAATGCAGATAAAGGATTTCGTTCCAGGAAACTTACATATTAAATTAATGCAGATTAAAGAACATATTTATAGTCTGTATTACATGTGTTCAGTGGTGAACAGAATGATTCTGGTGGTAATTCGTTAAAATTCAAAATGCAGTGTAATTTTGATTAGCATAAGAAACAAATCAATAGTCTCATTCCATAAACAAACCTGATGGCAGTAAAATACATGGAGGTTAAATTAAGCAATTAATCGTAAGACAAGGGGAGAAAATACTCAAACGGTAATAACTATCGGTGTGTTCAGAAACGAATGTCGAAATATAGCGATTTTAATTACTGCGTATCTTACAAAGCCATTTATTTTAATTTATAAGTGATGATATAACTAGATCATTACAGTAACTATTGCAGGTAAATTGTTTTCTTGGCATCGCGATTAGTTGATATAGCATTCCGATTTCCGTTATCCATTAGGTCAATCTCAAAATGTGAACTTTGAATTGGGAAAGAAAAGAACTTGGACAGTTTTCTGAAAGCTTCATAGTATTGAACTCTTTCTGGTTATCTGTATAAATTATTCAATTTCATGCATAAATATTCTTGAATGTTAAAGTTTTACTGTGTGTTATTAGAATAGTTTTTAAGAAGTGCGCTATCATTCATTTGATGTTTTCAATTATTGTCTTCAAGGTATCATGAATAATAGTTTTCTAAGTTGATGCATCCATACTTAACTGGTCAACAAAATATAAGAGCGAGTTTGCAGAAATTTGGTCTTGAAAGTTTACAATATATTACAAATTATTTCGTTAATTTCAAGAGTTTGAAAAATCGCAAAAAATTTATGATTATTTGAACCAAAAATGAATGCATCACTTAATTGAATATAAGTGGTCTGTCTTTCCTTTGTATGCTGAAATTACGCTCAAAATGCTTCTAATTTGTTGAAAAAACAGCATTTTATATAAAAGAACTCTATTATTACTAAACTCACAGCTTTAAGCGATTTGCCGAGTTCGAACAAATTGGTGTAGGGATCATATTTGCCGGATGACCAGAAACTTTTTCCTGTTCTGAATAAAGCCCCACGTAAAGCGTTTGTTGCAGTGAACAATGCCAAGCCAACAAACACACCTGAAATACTGCTTAATTATTATTGCTGAGAAAAAGTTTCTAAACTTATGATTAGCAAAGATTAATTAGCAGTGAACGGAGTCAGGTTCCAAGGACAAATCAGCAAACGCTCAATTCAAATATTATCTTATGAACTTAACTACCAACTTATCAGAGAATACATAAACTTCTGAGCAACAAAATAATTCTTAAAGATGAAAAATTAAAAGTTTTAAAATTAAAAATACTTGGATATTCAGTTTAAATTTTAACTCTCACATGTGATTCCATAAGTTGCAGACATTTGAGCAGAAAGAGATAACGCTCCTGGTGGATTTAGTTGCACTGAAATGGCAAATCTTGAAATCTCTGAAGAAGGCGTGTGGCTTGAAAGCATGAAAAATTTTCCATATGGCAGTAGCTCTTGCTATTAGAGTCGAAAAAAAGCAACGAAAGCGAAGTAATTTAATTGGAAGTGTATTTAATCAGAAAATATCAACCATATCCCTTAATTTAGTTTCCGTTTTCAACGAGATAAAGTGATTTTTGATTCGATTTTCGCAACATAAATCTGTTATACTTTTCTATGCACTCAGCTTATAATAAATTATTGAAGAGTTCAAATACTGCCTTCGGATAGCATGATGCGTCATTTAGTTAGAAATCATTTGAAAACTTTTCAAACTGTTTTAGAAAGGTTTCCAGTCCTAGCATAGTACACTTCAAGAATTCATAGTTTTTTTTTCATTTTTTTCATGACAATAAACCGAGCTTTTCTCGTTCGAATTAATTTGCATCACAGGAATTGAAATCACTGAAAGTGCTTGAATTCTCTTCGAGATTGTTTCACAAACCTAATTCATGCTAGAAGTTTAAATGTTGATATTACAGGTGGCATAAAACAGTTGCAACAAAACATATCTCTAATGAAGGATTTCATTTTGCCATTTCTAAGTTGTTAGTTATTCGGACCAGAATATTTTGTTGACATGTAAACATAGCTTACTCTATGTTTTGGAAGATTTTTCAAAGCTTTCTGTATAACTGAGCAAGTTATTCAGTCATTCTCTTGTATTCTATCTTTCAAGTAACAGCAGTTTGGAATGCATTTACTTGCTTAAGTAGAAGCTGTCTGAATGATTGTTCGTGGAGTAGATGCAGTAGATATGTTTACATTTACGTGATATGCTGATCCTACATGCTAAGATCTCTGTTATATTCCATCTATTTTTTTTTATTATCAAAGACTCGAAATTTTAGGAAATTTGTTTTTATTGCCGTGCAACAAAGCAAGAAAGAAAGGTTGAAGAAAAGTGGAAGTTTTTATTTAATTCATTTTTTTTTTTACGCCTAGCAATGCAATCACAAAAGTAATAAAAATCAAATGCGATCCAGTCTGATCCCATCCGATTTCCCATTTACCAGGTACCTGTACCAATGTGGGTAATAGTGAGGATGACTGAAAAAGAGTACTTATGCTAAGCAATCACTGAAGATAGTTACAACTGAACTAGTCTTCTCAATCATAAACATTTCTCTGCCTATTCAAGAGCTTTTGATTTACCATCGAGACACCTACTTCCATTCACCTGTAACAAAATCATCGGTTCTATTCCTAACTTACCCGTTATCGCAATCTCAATGTAAGCTAACATTCTTAGTCATTATCAAGTAGAGTGAAGTAGAAAGCAAGTAGCAAGTTCTGCTTAGCATCACTTAACTAACAGTTACCAGTAAAAACAAACTTCGATCCAGTTGAATACTACTGCTTTCAGTTCAAGAACTATTGACATCTCTGCATATCAGTCAACGATCATGGAGGCTCGTTTTATTATATTATATTTTCAGTGATAATATTGATAATTCTTACCATTAATACTGTTATTATTTTATAATCATAATTACTTCTCTGTTTTTAGAGTTTTTTGTTTTTAGAACTCTTTGGATCAAGAACAATTTCCTTTCTACTCTTTGAGTAACAAATTGTTTTTTACTGTATTACCTATTACCTCTGTTAACAACTAAGTATTCATTATAAGGAAGGTTCAACTTCATGTTTTTATTTTTATCCATCGCGTCTAATTCTTATCTTTCTTTACCTGTTTCTTGCATGATTTAAGTAGCATTTTTAGCTTCTTTTCCGTTCGTTTAACCTAATTTGGACATTACTTGTGGCTTTATGCTTACCTAAATTTGCAGTTCGAGATTTATGCTGTTTACTAGAACGTTTCAAACTCTCTTCATTCATCACGATAGCTCTTTTTTTATGCTTTTTATTTCATTTTTTTTGTGTTCTCAACCAATCTTTTTTTGTTTCAATTTCCAGTATTTTTCCAGCTTTTCACAATTCTGTCTTTGAGTCCTTCGAAAAATGATTGAAATTCATTCAAGAACTGAAATTCACTATTTCACTCAAATTTACATATATATATATCAGCTGATTTCAATCTTTCCACTATGTGATATTACTTGGCTTCCATTTGCAATGATATCTTTTTGTAGCACCGTTTTCAAACTTGGCAATCCTTTTTTTACTTTTTTCTGTGTTCCGAATTTATGTCTGTTAGATCCCTTTATTTGCATTTCATCTCTTTTCTTCATTTTCATCAAATTTAACTTTAGTAAACTATGTGTTATTGTCCCGTGCTAATTATTGCTAATTATTGGTCGTCCTGCCACGACCGCCCAAACAAAGTTAGAGGTCTTATAACCTATTTAATATAAAATGTCTGATTTGGATACATCCTCATGGGTAACGAGATACTGAATAGACAAGGTAAGGCTGTCAGAAGCATATAAAATTTCACATCCATTTTGCCAAATTAGTGAAATGTTTATGAAAAATTTCTAGTGCCTCACCGAGTCGACATCATGACCAATTCTCTTCCTCTATTTCGTTTGGCATTCATATTTGATTTATTGTTTCTAATTAGTTGCCATAATTGGTATACTAGCTCACAGTGCTTTATACAAGCTCTAAGCTCAATAACAGAATGTTACTGAACAATGCAGTTTTCTAAGAAATCCTCAAGGGAGTTAATATTTGATCTTATGGAAGCAGATTACTCAAATTTTTGAGATTCGAATACTGGATAAAATTTGGGACGTTGAGAGTAGCAAGAATAAAACAAAACATGGCATAACGTTTATAAGAGAATTAAAAAAAAAAAAGTGAAGACCGCAAATAAAAATAGAATCAAATTTTCTGTAAATAGTAATTGTAATTCTTGACCGATCTAACTTCAAATGTATCTTCACTCCAGGACAGCGTAGAAAATGAGCAGAAGCCAACGAAGCGAAAGTGGAATTTGGAACAACTTCGAGCCGGTGATACTTTTCTGTCAGTGCAAGCTGCTACAAATAAATACGATTCGCAAAAAGGTATGACTGCGCCAGGCATGCCACGATGGAACATAGTGAAGGACAAGCATCTCGGGTTCCAATTTCTTTTTTTGAAAAACTTAAAAAGCAATTTGACTGGGAAAGTTACCTGAAAGACATAATGACGATGAAAAGGAACTTACTACTCAGAACTTATGAAACAAAAGCCAATACAGAGTAATCAATAGAGTAATTTTTGAAGACAATTTAAAGTTAAACCAAGTAAGGTGATGTTTGTGACTGTAGAAGCAAATAATGCCTTGATGGAAGAAAAGTAGCTGACTGTTTCAGCTTTATAAATCCTGACCGGAAAGGTGAAGAATTACTGAGAGCACAGTACGGAAGCAATCAGTATGCATCACAAAAGGGTATAGTTTAAAATTTCGCTCATAAAAAGTTTCATTTGTAGAACTGAAAGAATTGATTTCTCCGCGGTATCATGTTTGCATTAGTTTTAATTTTGAATCATAGTTAGTAATAGAAATATCTTAACTTTGCGTAATTAGACCATATCCCTATGTTACTCCAATATATTCAATAACTCTTCTTCCAGGTTTAACACCGATTGGTGCATCAAGAAATCAGGTATTAAAAGTAAAATATAAAAAAGACTGGAAGGTAATACCTGATAAACAAAGTGAAAAAGTTATACCTAAACAATCCGGTGATTACGGGATGGCTACGCAATCTGGCGAGGTACTTTTATAACATTTTTATGGCACCTATTTTATAAGCTTTTTTAATGACCAAAATTTTTAGCGTTCGATGGGCTCTCAGCGTAATCAAGTGCCTATTATTAGAGGACGTTTACCACGAGATCGACGCACGAATGGTATATTATGTTATCAATATGGTACCAACATATTTGCTTCTCAGCAAGGAATGAATGCACCACCCGGTATCGGTGCAGTTCGACAAGCTACCATGGAAATCGAAGGACTTGGTTTTACGTTAGCTCTATAAAAAGCACTTCATCTGTAGTTTATTGCTAGCACTGTCATCAAGGTCATGTTAAAAAAAAATTCTGCTAAAACAGTTTTGTAAAGTTAGCCACATAAGCATTTTTTTTTTTTTTCACAGGGAGGATGGTTTACGAAAGGGTAGTGCATTCACGCCGTGGTATTCGGGACAAAACAAATTTGCCAGCCAATCAGGTACTGGTGGCTTTTTGAAAGTACGCGATGTACTACCAAATTCGAAGGTATTTTCTATTAACCCAGTTAAAAAAGTCTTAGGCTAGATTCGATACAGCTTTAATCATTTTAATATTACCCCAGTATATTTGCGTTTTAAAAGTACATGTGATAAGGCCAGAAATGTTAATATATATAGCCATACATAGCCAAAACAAGTTGTAACACAACCAGAAATGATAATATCCATAGAGTAATTATCGAAAGTTGTGTTAGAGAGTTGCTTATTTTTGATTTTAGATTTTGTTACAATTATCATGTGACGGGAATTAGAGTAAGAACTTTGTTGTGAATAAAAATAATCAGTAGCTATTTCAATGATTGGTGCCACATTCTTGATTTCATCCTGTGGCGGTTATTGAAGTAATGTTTTAGGGTGGTAAAGAAATTGACGAAGTGCTGAAAATTAAATCGGAGGGTATAGTACCACTTCAGGCTGGTACCAACAAATTTGCATCTCAAAAAGGCATGGCAGGCTTTGGAACACGAAGAAACGTTCTACTAAAGCAAGGGTGGAAGAAAGAATGGTTAATAATTTGTTAAAACCAGTAAAGTTGTAATATTTTATTTATAGCTATGACATCAAATTTTCACAACATTTTCGAAAATCCAGAGTTTTTTTTTCTGAAATAAGTTTTAACTTGATATACGTCAGGATTAACGAGTATGAGCAGGCGCTGCGTGAATTTGAGGAAACTCGTCCACCTGGTTCGGCGTCTGTTGTTCATTCATCTCATTACAAACAGGAATTCAAAGGAAGGAGAGAAGTTAGAATCTATTGAAATTTCAAATGACTATTAACAAGATCAGTCTTAATTGGAATTGCACGACTAAAAGAAGCTTTGGTACTCTAATTAGTTAATAAAAGTTCTAGAATCAAAAGGTCAAATTGATTTTTTTAGCAAAATTTGCTTTGGATTCTAATTTTCAAGGTCTGAGGCATTTTAAAATTGATTAAGAAAGATTTCTAATATAATACTTGATAAACATCAAGTGAATTCAGAAGGTAAATAGAAAATTATAAGACAGGGCAAATACAGCACTGCTGCTAGTAGGGTAAAAATCTTGTCAAAATTAAAAAAGAATTTGAGAAATGACGATGCTTTTAAAGCACATGAAAGATACTTCATCTTTTAACACAAAGTTTTTTTCATTAATGACCTAAATACAGAAATTTGGAACCAGAATTATTTTGCTGAGGTGTTAAACATAAATACGAGAAAATTGAACTGATACGTGCTTATTTTCCAGCAGGTATAAAAGTCGTTAAAGTTCAAAGTGGTACTTAAAGTGATAAGGAGAACACACAGCACAGAAGGGTTATAATAATCAATGATAAATATGATAGTAAAGACGAATTCATTGTGAAACTTCAAAATACTCTTAATATTGCGTTGTAGTAATATCAAGTTAGGCTTTTTTTCATAGGAAACAGTTTCCGCTAATAATGAAAAGAAATTTTTAAGAAAATTCATAAATCTGATGGGTGAGTGAATTCAGTATGTGGTAAAGCTGTGATGTTCTTTAGTATTGGTGGAAAAATATGCTATAGAGCAGTATTATGATTAGTGCAGTTAGGCTTTAATAATGATTTCCAGAAAGATTTGGATTCTAACGGTGAACCTAAGCTTTCAGACGGAAGAAGTCGAGACCGAACAGGAAGTGGAAGAGAAGCAAAACAATGTGGGAGAGGAAACGGTTCGTTTATTTTGTAAGAATTATTAGAAATCAGATAAGAATGGATAGTGAAACAGAGCCTGTTTATTACAGATGAAAAAATCAATAGAAGATGAAGAGGAGGAGAAAGAAAATGAAGACGGGGAAGATGAAGGGGATGAAGACGAAGAAGATGAAGAAGAGGAAGAAAATGATAATAATGAAAGAACAGAGGAAGATGAAGAGGAATGACCTATATTAATGTTCCCTTAATTCTTATATATTTGAAGTTGTACTTTCCAGGTGAAACAACTGAGCTAATGCCTTTAATAAAGTAGGAAAGAGTGGTGTCGGAAATATCACTCTCAATAAAAGACTCATATATTCGGAATTATTCTGCACTGACGACTAGACCCATTACTATTTTCACTTGTTGATACCAAATCTCTCATGGAATAAATTACGTAGTTTTCAGAGTCTGAATGTCTGCATGAAGTAGTTAGGTGACTGTTTTCGGGAACATGACTGACTTATTTCTTCAATCTCAATAACAAAATGCAAATTATTTTTGAGTTAAACTATCATTTAACTTTTTATAGCTTCTTAGAGTGGTAATACTGAAGCGAGTGGAGCATTTAATTATGTTTAAGTGATGGAAAAAAGGGCTTCAAACTTCGCAGTTTGTTCTGCTTTAAAGATCAGGAAAAGAGAATGCGAAGATGGAAGACCATTTGTTAGTATGCTTCTTTTATGTTCATAGATCCCTGTTTTGCAGGATCACCTGAAAGATCCGGCAAATCCTCTGAGTTCATCTAAATCTCACGTAGGAAAAATATTCAAGTAACTGCCTCAAACTATTTGCAATGGTGGCTGATGTAGCACAACGTATTCTGCAACACATAGTCGAAATGAAAACCAAATTGTGTACATACTTCCATCATTTCTGTAAAACTTTACAAAAAAAAATCATGCAGTCATTACCCAACCTTAACAAATTGAATGCTGTCAACTTCTCATAATATCATCGAAGTCATAGAAATTTCCTGTCACGGGAATCAGGAATGAAAGAACATAGAGACAGTAGTCCTTTCACGTAAGCATACTTCTGGGACTCTGGAAAACACTGTTACAAAAATGTTACGAACCAAGCGACTGAAGTATCGGGAATTTATCACCCTTGATTGGGACAAAAAACAGAACAATGGCTTCCAAAAAAAGCTCCGAGCATAAGACTCCCGAAACCCGACTACTGCTGGTCTATTAACAAAGCATTCTTTTGATGATCCAACTGGAGATTTCAAATTGTAATTTATACCTCGAGAAATGATGGGCAACGTGATTCAACGTATGTATAATGAGATAGATATCAAAATATCCTTTGGTGAAATCAAACCGATTACTTATCCGTATATATAAAAACCTTGCTCTTGGATGAACCGTTCATTTCAATGGCGAGAAACCTTCAAATTGAAAACCTTCAATTGTGAATAATACCACATACAGAGTGCAATGGAACACTCATGTAAAACGATCAGAAGCATATTTACTCTCTTCAGTCAACAAATGATATGGAAACAAGAACTAAGACAAAATTATGCTTTTACAGCATATTTCCTCATAGGGTACTTGCGAAGTTTGGCAAGCTGCTTCTTTGTTTTCAAATTCGCCTCATGCTTAGTCAGTGCTCGACGCATCGCTCGTGTTTTCTTCGGTCGAATATCCAATGGTTTGAAATGCTTCCCCTTAAATTTGAATTATTCAACTTAAAATCACATTAGAATTACTAGTTCAAGTTTTATCCTAGTTTTGACAGAAATTAAAGGAATACATAAAAAAAATAAAATAAAATAGAATAAAAGCAAGCTTGGCAAGCTGCTTCCTTACTTTCAAATTCGCCTCGTATTTAGTCAGTGCAGAAGCATCGCTTGTGCGCACTATCACGTCATTTTCAACTATTTGTACAATTTTTTCTTAAACTAAGCTGACGGAAAGTAATAAACCTAAGCTACCAAAAATCTTCGGAAAATACACAACTACGAGAATAACTTGCTGGTTAAAAGGAAAAAGCATATGCAAAAATCAAGCCTAAACACATTATGATTGGTTTCGTAATTACTGATGATAAGTACGACATAATAACCTAAGAAACTAAGGTCTGGCATGTTTTCTATTGATGGGGCGGTACAACTTACAGTCACGAAGATTAACTGATGAATGTGCTAAAAACTAAATGCATCAATATCAGACCCTCAGACCCAAAAAAAAGCCTATATAAGCTATTAAAAGAACCTTATAGAACTTCCTCAGTTCTTGCTTCTGTGTTTGATTGATGACTGTCAGAATGCGTGCGATGTTCTTACGAACAGTACGGATCTTTGAAAGTTTCGAAGCGCCTCCACCGACTACTTTTGATACCTGCAACAAACAACAATGAGGACCGAACCAAAAAACGAACTTGAAGTGTAACAAATACCCTGACTAAGCCATAACCCTATGCAAGTAAAATACAAAACGAGCGCTGGAATATACAGCATCAAAATGTTAACTTTCAAACAAGTGGTTGTAACGACTACTTCTAGATAATTAAAACATGAGATGAACTAGTGCTTTCAGGATAGGACCGAACCAAGAAATGAACCTGAAGTGAAGCAAGTTCCGTCTTTTGTTCATCAAGCTGTTTCGTTAGTTCTTCCTTCTTTTTTCCTCTTAAATCTCGTGCCTTAACCTTGGTCATTCTTTCTTTCTGCTGAAAATAAATACATCCACATCCCCGAATTATTAATTAAACCATAAACCGTATATCTGCAACACAGGCAGGTGATGATAGCAAAAACGATTAAGAGAGTATGGAGTAACTGTTGTTTTTTATTGTGACACACGTCTGACCTATTTGTGTCACTTGTAGCAATATTGCCGCTTATGTCACCAGTATTACTACTGATTTCGATTAGAAATTATAAAAAGGCGACAAACTAATTGGCAAGACAAACTTAACCAACGAAACTAACATCCCTTCTACTCCGACCCAAAGCGACTTCAGTTCCCCCAACTTCTGCTGACCCTATTAACAGCAAACCAGCAGTGTGGTACAAGGAATGAAAATTCTGTCCCACCAACCATCCTAATTTGCTTTGGTCGATAAGCAAATACGCCGGGTTGACAATGTTGTAGGGGAGGAATGGCAGACTGCGTATGTTACCTGGTGGGGTGGGTAAGTGCGAGAGGTGGGCAAGTCATCCGGATTGCCATATACGTTCTATGTTAGTTCTATCACGGTTTTGTGAATCTGCTCGACAGTGGTTATGTACTTGCCATTGCGAATGTTTGACGGATTTTAGGTTGGTGGGAAAGAGGAAGCTCCCGTTATAGGGTTTTCTGTTTGTTTACAAATTCTCTCCAATATCACTTCGAGGAATGTTGGTTTAGAAGTTTTGTATGGTTTCCTTAATAGTATCTTTTATAATTATGGGGAAGAAAGTTGTATGTAGAGACTCCCAAACAGTCATGAAATTTAGTGCTCGGTAAGTTATTGGTCATCAGTGATATTTTTCAGTAAATTGTTTCTCCCTTTTCTTTCTTTATTAATAGCAGAGGACGCGACCTCTGTAAATGCTTACAGGCATGTGGGCTATGAATAAGATTCGGGTGGAAAGTACTGTTCGACTATTGAGAAAATGTAAAATCTTTAGGCAATAATCTCCTTTCCATATTTCAATAGCATAGTAACCTATTATCTATATTCACATTACATTTTGTCGTCCAAAATCAAAATGCAGTTTTATAATTTTTTGAATAGTTGTCAATCGGTTAACTGTTAGCATATGTTGACATATAATTCTACACTTGTTTAGTGAATATGACGAAAGTAGGGGTTGAAAAAGACGATGGTGCCAATGATTTGCGGTTAACGAATCAAACTGTTGTTGCGCCTGAAAATTTGCTGGTTGAGTTACTGGAATCGGATCGTGCTGTGCAAGCAGAGTATTTTCTTGAAGCTTACTCGAGCGAAAGTTGGTTTTCTGTATTATTAATTAATGATTAAGTTTCTCTTTTGTAACAAAAAATTATAAATTTTAGCGGCATTACTTCCGTAATGACGTACCCTTCTCATTTTCCTTTGTCATTACATTATACGAAGAAGTTTCATCCGGTAAGCTGAAATGGTAAATAATTTTGTTGTGAAATCGCAGTTGATTATGCAGTTTCCTCTTTTTTAATAAAATCAGAAACTAGTGATGTAAGAAACGTTGTTGCGTGTTTTTCTCTTTTATGAGATGGTTTATTGTCTATCAAAATAATCGTCACTCGTCAACAACCAGTAGTCGGTAATAAAATATAGTATTTACTTTCTTTTGCTTTTAAACAGACTGATTTATCTTTTTATCATATGTTGTGCTGCAGACTGTTTAGGTGAAACTGTACATTTATTTTGAGAGACTGTATCTATTAAGACTAGAAGCACTAATAATTGAACTTTAGAAGGCAGGATTACTAACAGTGCAAGCGCTGTTGTTGGTAATGGTTGTGAATCGAGCGATAACAGGGACGAGGTTTTTTTTTTTTGCCATCCAATTAGACTGTAATTTTTTTTTGTGTGGTTTTTTATAAGTTGACCAAATAAACATTAATATCTTAGTAGATCGTTTAACAGTTGACCAATAAACATTAATGTCTTAGTAGATCGTTTTTTTGTTATACGCTATTTTACTTTCTAGTAGGTGTATTAATCGAAAATTCTTTATCTTTGAAATTCTCCAAATTCTGAAACTTGGTATACAGATTGAAAAGTCAGCTTTTAATTGCTTGATTCTCTTTTTTTTGTTATCGGACTTCCTTTAACTGCATTTTGACGCTCAAGTTCTTATTACTTTGCATGTATTCATTACTAAGTCCACGTTTGCTTATTAATTTTATGTATGATTTAGTTTAGAACTTTTATTTAGGAGTTCGAAATATTATAAATGAGAACAGCTATTTCATTACTGTGTTTTAGACTATAGGAAATGACAACGAGATGGAACAGCATAAACTGAAAATTTCTGATGTTTCTAAGAAAGCAGAAGCGATTTCAACAGCAATGAATAAGGAAGAGAAAGTATGTTTGTTATTATCTTGACTTTTGTTCAAACAAATCGAGTTAGCAAATATACGATATTAGAAAAGAGAATGTTGTAAATACTGTTCAACCATCACATGATAAGGTATTAAATTGTAAAATGTATATAGTTCAAATAAATTGCTGGTGCATGCATTTTTTTTTTTTTTTTTGACTGACCATAATATTTACTTTGCATTGAAACACTTGCAGATTTTTCTTTGCTCACTTAATTTTTGGAGAAATTGCAGAATGATGGTGATGGCATTGACGAAAATGAAGAGGGAATTGCGGTGACAGGTCACAATGAGAAAAACGGCAATTCAGAAAATAATAGTGCTGTTGGTGTGGACAGTGATGTTGAGAAAGACAGGGACAGCGAAGATGACGAATATGTGGTGGAAAAAATTCTTGATAAACGATATAATCGACGAAAGAAAAGAATCGAATATTTGATCAAATGGGCAGGATATGACAGTGAAAGCGAGAATACATGGGAATCTGCAGAGAATTGTGTATGTCTCTTAATTTAACCCTTTCATTCATTTCTTCACATACATATTTGCAGTTAAATTTCATTCATCACATTTGTTAATTGATTCACACCTCTACATACTAGGAAGATTTTTGATATTAACCCAAGGGATGGGCATTCATCTGATTCGCTGCTAAAAATTTGAAGCATTGAAAAAAACATAACTTTTTATAACATTTTTATTGAGTAAATATATGTAAGGAATCCGCTCCTGATGCAATTCGTGAATATGAGGAAAGTCAGAAGAAAAATACGACGAAATATCCGTTACGAAGTAGACCAATAAAAGAGGTTACTTTTATTTTTTGTGGTTAAGTGCTGTTTATTTTGTTTATTATTTCGTCTCTTCTCTTTCCGTATTTCTCAGAAACTATGAGTCTTCAGGAAAGTGGTTCAAATGATAATAGAGAAAAACTATCAAAATCCATAAAAAGGAAAACAGACGAATTCAAAGAGGAACTATTTTCAGAAGGTTAATGTTTCTAAAATTTCTTCTAAATGCACTCTACGACTGGTTATTAAATACTGAATTTCGCTTTTCAATAAGCTTCAGAAAGTAGCGATAATGGCAGCGAAGAAATTGCGTCGAAACGTACTAAGGTTGACTGCATTCTTGGTGTTAAAAAGGAACATAATGAAATTCTGGCAGTAGTGCGTTTTGAGAACGGACACCATGATGTTATATCAACTCGAGTGTTGGCCAGCAAATGTCCAAAAGTAATTTTTATGCATCTTTTGGGATTCGATATTGACGGAATCTATGTTTTTTGATGGACATATTGTTTATTTTGTCGTTTTGATAAGTTGGAGAGCATTTATTTAATGAACTATGCAAATTTAGTAAACCTGTTTTTTTTTATATAAGCAGTTACAGTGATGTAATTTCAGAAGCTGGTGAATTATTATGAGAGATCATTAAAGTTCATCTGATCATGAGCGATTTGCAGCATTATTTCCCGAGAAATAGTTTTAATTTATTTTCTTTGCATTGTTTATAAATGATTCTTTCCGTGCTTTTTAGTTAACCTAGTTTGTTCTACTGTGGGAAGCGATTTATCATGTTGAGGTCCACTTAATAAAGGATGTAATTTATAAATTTTTTAGTGCAAATGGGAATGTTCTTCATAATTTGTTCTGAAAATATGTCTTATTTTTTTCATTTTGATATTATTTTATTATATCTACTTCATACAATAAAATTTAATGGATTTTGTTTTTTAGTTGTATTTTTGATTTCCAGTAATCAGCCAGATGTATTTTCCGCATTTGCTTTAAGAGTATTTTTATTCAAACTTTATTCTAATAGTCTTCTCGATCTGATCTTAACCAAAAATTATATTGAATTGCATCTTCGCAAAAGCATGACTCAGATATTTAGACTTTGGAGTTGCCGAAGTTTCTTTTTACTGTATTTTTTCAGTGTTCTGTTTACTAGTTTATAGTCATTTATCTACTCTACTGGTTTTCTTTGGTCTGTAGTAAATATTTCGCATTGAAAATTCGCTGTGCTAAATGTTTACTTATAATTACCACTTAAATATGGAGTTAATGGATTTTGCATTGGGGGACAATATTTTGGTCTTTTTATAAATGTCACAATTGATATCTGCAGATCGAGTTTAAACCCGTTGGGGTGTAAAGTATTTCCACTTATAGTTGAGATTAATGTCGAATATTATTGAAACTAGAACCAATCAAACCAGTAATGATCTGACATCGGCGAATCCCAAAACGACGAAGGAGCTGAAGAAGGAGGCAGCGAAAGCAGCGAAGATAGCAAAATTTCATGAGAAAGTGAAGAAAATGGAAGTGCAAGCATGTCAAGCAAAACAAATGGTAAGGGTCCATTAAATGCATTTATAGTTTTTCCCTTGATTCCGAAACTTCCCCGTTTATTTTAATCTCGATATCTATCGATTCTTCAGCAACGTTTTCAGACAGTGGAAACAAAGAAGAGGGAGGTTTGTGAATACACTGCTAATACGAAACCTGGAGAGAAGAAGAACACCATTATTGATTTGCCAAATGCTTATAGTCCAAGATATGTGGAAGCAGCTTGGTATGAATGGTGGCAGAAATCAGGCTTTTTTCGACCTGAATATAAATGTGACTTAAGGTTTGGTGATTATTGATAGAATAAAGCGGATGACACTACTGATGAAAAAAAAGTTTCATTATAGAAATCACTCAGAACTGAGTGGTTATACTATGCTGTATTTATCTCAATAATGCAGTCTCAAGTGAAACATCTCAAATACCTTCGTGAATCATAAACACTAATGAGTGCTTCTCTTTAAGTTATTTTTCAAAGTCTTGAGGTTTTGTTCAGAATTACAATTTTTTTGTTAAAGAGATTTTTTGCAGTAAGCCGAATCCGAAAGGGATTTTTACTGTAGTTATTCCACCACCGAATGTCACCGGAACATTGCATTTGGGACATGCTTTGGCTACTTCTGTAGAAGATGCTGTATGTAGATGGTAATCCGCAAAAGGAATTTATTTTCAATGACAATTTTTTTGCAGTATTTAAGTAAGATCTCAGACTTGTGAGTGCTTATACATATGGAACAGACATTGTTCTGTTAGGTTTTGTCTTTGTGTTAGGTAACATTCTCTTGTAATTTTTGCGCTTTTATTAAAAAAACACGGTTTTAGTAATTTTTACTACACCAATATATATATGAACATGATTAGTTTTTTAGGCACCGTATGAAAGGCAAAACAGTTTTGTTCAATCCAGGCTGTGATCACGCTGGAATTGCTACGCAAGTTGTGGTAGAAAAACGTTTGAAACGTGAATTAGGTTTAACAAGGCATGATCTGGGTCGTGAGAGGTTTGTAGAAGAAGTGTGGAAATGGAAAAATGAGTGCGCTTTTTCTCGATTCCATTTGTAAAGAGTGCTGTAGTTATCTACATTTGAAATTACTAGGTAAAAAGCAATGTAGATGAAATGCTCGTTTTATTTTTCTATTAAACCCTGATTCATTTCCCATATATGAGTTTTCATGTTTCATGGATTTTTCACAATAATTCGTAATATTTTGTTTCACAATGCATTTTGAGTTTCTAACTGAGGTATGAAGTCTCACCCTCCTTTACATTAGGTTTGTCTTTTTTCTTTTTCATCTTGTTACAGAAAAGGAGAAGTGATTTATAACCAATTGCGAAAAATGGGTGCAGGAGTTGACTGGGATCGAGCCTGTTTCATGATGGATCCGAAAATAACACGTGCTGTAACACATGCTTTTATCGTAATGCATGAAAAGGGTATCATATATCGAAGTAATCGGCTGGTGAATTGGTGTTGCGTTTTGAGATCTGCAATTTCCGATATTGAAGTATTATTTTCAACTTTTCGCATCACTCTTATGTTCCTAGCACTGACCACAAGAAGTGCGAGTAATTTGCATTTTAAACAAAAATTATTAACTTAAGGTTACCACCAGTATATTGCTACATTATAAAAAAAGACAAAAAGAATGATTCATGTCTTTTAAGTTATGCTGGCATCATATCACTTTCTTCAATATTACCTTTAGGTTGATAAAGTGGAGTTAAACGGACGTACATTCCTCTCTGTTCCTGGATATTTGAGGAAAATTGAGTTTGGTACATTGACATCTTTTGCTTACCCCATCGAAAATTCAGGTTTTGTACAGTTCCAACATTGTCTTTTCCTTTTTATTCAGAATTTGACTGACGCTATTTTGCACATAGGCAATGTTTTCAAGCTTTATTTCATTTAGATGAAGAAGTCGTGGTGGCAACTACTCGAGTTGAAACCATGTTAGGCGATACCGCTATTGCTGTACATCCAAAAGATAACCGATACAAACACCTTATTGGCAAGGTTCTTTTGTCTTTTACATTCGGAATAATGGTTAAATACTAAACACTGATTTGCGTTACATAAACTCATTGTGTTAGTTTGCTTGATGTGCGGGAATTTACAAAGGTTTAAGAATCTAAGAAAGAGTATATACTCAATGTATTCGATAAGATTGCGTCATAGCTTTTTGTTATAATATTTATTCTAGAATTGTTTGCATCCATTTCTTCAAAGAAAACTTCCAATTATAGCAGATTCGTTCGTTGACATGGAATTTGCAACAGGTGGTTTTAGTTTTTTTTTTGCTAAACATAACCATCACAATCCAAAGCTGTGTTGTTTATTGTTTTCCTGTTTTTCATCAATCGCTTCTAATATTTATTTAAAATTTATGCGTTACTCCTCATTTTTACCATTTTGATGTGGAAAAAGTGGCCGCTTTTTTGATTGAAACTGAAACGTTTTGTTCAGGAATAGTTAAAATAACTCCTGCTCACGATCATAACGATTATGAAGTAGGACTCCGTCACAATTTGCCATTCATTACTTGCTTCACAGATGATGGCAACATGAGCGAACAATGTGGCGAATTTAAGGTTTTCTTTTATTCTTTACTTGCAAAGAGTGGCAAATTATCAAAATTTAAGAATTAAATAAGGAGATCAGATATATACATTTTACTAGCATGTTCATGAAACTCAGATATTTTTTGCTCTCATTTTCTTATGTGCTTCAGAACATGAAACGATTTGACGCAAGGGACGCTGTTTTAGAGGCGCTTAAGAAAAAAGGTCTTTTCAGGGGGCAAAGTGATAATCCAATGGTTGTTCCTTTGTGCAGGTGGGTTAGAAATCATAACTTTTCATCAAGAATCCTTTTGCCAATTAAATAGTTTCAAAGTTTTCCATCCAATTCCAAAAAAATTTCAGTCGTTCGAAGGATATTGTTGAGCCAATTTTGAAATCACAGTGGTATGTAAAATGTGATCAAATGGCACAACGAGCTATTGAGGCTGTGGAGGAAGGCCATTTAAAAATTATACCAGATTTTCATGCTGTAACTTGGCGAAAATGGTTGGAGAATATTAGGTACACTTAATTTTCTTAGTTTTTAATGCAAGGTATAGAAGAATGCAAAAATTATTTTATGTTCCCTCATTTCGTAAATAACCTTTCTGCCTCGATGCTTTATCGTAATTGCTCTTAATAATGTCTTAAACTACATAAAGTATTAGAATGTAAAACGAAAGCTACCGCCTGAACTTTCTTATAAATTTGGCTTTTTAGAGATTGGTGCATATCACGGCAGCTGTGGTGGGGTCATCGCATACCTGCTTACTTCGTCACCGTCGATGACCCTAAAGTTTCTGCTGGAACTTCTGATAACAATGATTATTGGGTGAGTGCACATAATGAAGCTGAAGCATTGGAAAAAGCTGCTCGAAAGTTTGACGTTTCGGAAGAGAAAGTTTCTGTGAAAAGAGGTAGTTTTCACATTTACATATTTTTAGATGGGTTCGTAAGTGGGTCTTCTTTTTCTTTTCACTTTCTGGTTAATTTAGTCTTAAAATTATGTTTCGTTTGCAATACTATATCATTTCTTCGTTATCATTCTTATATATCGAATAAATTGTTGTTTGTCTTATTTAAACAAGCAGCAACATGATTTACAGATGAAGATGTTCTGGATACTTGGTTTTCTTCTGGAATGTGGCCATTTGAAGTTTTTGGATGGCCTGAAAAAACTGCTGATTTGGATAAATTTTTTCCGAGTACACTTTTGGAAACGGGACATGATATACTTTTCTTCTGGGTAGCACGTATGGTTTTTATGTCACAAGAGCTTACTGGGAAGTTGCCATTTCAAGAAGTTAGTTTATTAACTTTCTTTGCTAGTGAAGAAACATTGTAACAATAAAAAGTTTGTGTTCTGGATGTTAGGTTTTCTTTTAAAATGTGGTCGTTCAAAATTTTCATATGCCTTGCTAAAACTACTCATTTGTATAAAATTTGGGGAGTTACTAAAAATTTTCTCGAAACAAAAAGGAAACGACGAAATAATTTTTAAGTCTGCTTAAATATTTCAGTAATGAATCCATTTGATAATATTAAACCTTCCGTTTTTCTTCGTAGGTGTATTTGCATGCCATGATTCGGGATGCTCATGGACGTAAAATGAGCAAATCGTTAGGTAATGTAATCGATCCGTTGAATGTGATATATGGTGCATCATTGACGCAGCTCACCAAAATACTGGAATCTGGAAACCTTGACCCGAAGTAAGCACTTTAGTCAAAGGTGAACTACGACCAATATTAGAGAATGCTTTCGGGAACCCTTTTATGATTTTTATATCATAATGGTGTGTGCTCCTTTTGTCGTATTGACTTTTTCTGATTTTATCGTACTTCAGTATATTTTAGGAAGAACCTTATATAACACAATGCTTGACTCTGTTATGACAGTACAGAACTGTGTTCAATTTAAAGAAATAAGCAGCCATTTGCATTTGTTTTTCTTTTTTTTACTGCTACTGAATCTTTTATGACTTTTATCTTGTTTTACTGTTTACTTTATTATCATTGCAGAGAACTAAAAAGAGCGAAAGAAGGGCAAGCACACGATTACCCGAATGGTATTCCAGAATGTGGCACTGATGCATTAAGGTTTGCATTGTTGAATTATACTAGTCAGTGCCGAGATATCAATCTTGATGTGCTTCGAATTCAGGGATATAGGTTCTTCTGCAATAAAATCTGGCAAGCATCAAGATTCACATTGATGCAGTTACGCAACAATTTCGCACCTGCGGAAAAATTTGTTGTTAGTTTTTTTCGACGTCATGGATTCTAGCACATAGGAATGCTGTGTTAAATGGAGCTCACAATCTCAATTCTCGCTTAAAATATAGATCTAGAAGGTTCTAAAGATGTTAAGCTTTGTTTTGAGTTGTATGATGAGAAAAAATTTTCCTTTCAGTTGCCAGAAGAGAGTAGTACTCTGGATCGTTGGATTTTGTCACGACTGTCTTATGCTGTTGAATCATCCAATAGTGGGATGTCTAGCTATCAATTTAATCGCGTTACGACTACATTATATAATTTTTGGCTATATGAATTTTGTGATATATATATTGAAGGGTGCAAACCAGTACTTGCTGGAAGTGGTTAGTTCTTTGAGTATGTTCTTCACGAATTGACTTTTAAAATATGTTTTTAAAAATATCATGCCTTTCTTTTTCATACTGTTTTTCTTTAAAATCATTTATATGCTGTCGAGTTACTGTTTTGTAATTCTGTTCGTTTATAAAAATACCATTAATATGTAGGAAATCCTAATGGTGCAGAAATTGTACGAAAGGTGCTCTTTGAATGTGTTGAAACAGGTTTGCGACTGTTATCACCATTCATGCCCTTTATTACTGAAGAGCTTTGGCAGCGGTTACCGTCACGTATATCAAGAGAAGAATCAGAAAGCATCTGTGTTGTCGCATATCCAGAAGCAAAGCAGGTTTGTGCTTTAGTGATATGCTCTATATTTGAGCTATTTTAAAATAAAGCAAATAGCTTTTCACAAAATAATTCCTTTGCAGTATGCATTTCGAGATGAAACACTGGAAAATCGGGTGGCACATGCAATGCACATTGTGAAAGCTGTTCGTTCTCTTCGTTCCGATTATGGACTAACAGCTAAAATGAAAACTGAACGTGAGTTTCATCTAGATAGTTCCAGTCGGATATTCATGTTTAGATGTATTTAATGTTTAATGCCAAATTATTATTTGTGATCAGTAATATTTCTTTGAATTAATCTTATATTTAATGTCTTCACAGGTCACTGGTTTGCCAAATTAACTATTTCAGTTTACATCGCTTTTGAAAACAGCTCAGAAGTAATAGAAATGGAAGATCTTGTACCCTTAATAACTACTTTAACTTCCTCATCCAAGGCTTGCTTTTTTCTCTTAATTCCTTGCGTACCTTTTTGGCGATTTTTCATCGCATTTAATAGATATGATCAAATTGCATTTACGTTTTAATACTAGAAAAACACACCTAAAAATTGAATTAGACATTAAGGCTACGTTTTTACATCCGTTATTCTGCCTCCTTTCAGGTTTCCCTGCTGACTGCGGATAAAGTAGGGCAATTGCCACCGGACACTGTCCAGCTTGTTGTTTCGGCAACTTGCAAGATTTCACTTCCTCTTGAGGTTTTGATTTCTTTAATTTGAAAAACTGATCTCTCTCATCTAATGTCTTGTCGCAATGTATCACACACAAGTTCATGTTTACTGTTCAAGTCGATGTGATGATTACTGCGCAATTTTAGGGTATAATTAACGTTCCTAAGGAAATTGCGAAACTGACGGACAAGGAGGAGAAAGTGATAGCTCAATTACAGAAATTAGACGAAACACTGTCTAGTCCAGCTTACAACAAAGTGCCTCTTGGAATACGTAATAATAATGTAGAAAAGGTGAAGTATTTTGTTTACTTCAAATTATGAAGTGTTTGCGGAAACTGTTCAAGCTATTTAATGAGTCCTTTCAACTTCTAATTAGAATTTCCATTTCAAGTTATCCGTTATTAAATTAATATTATTGCTATTTTTTGGTTCAGAAGTTCTTTCATCTTGTCCCGAAAAATTAAGTTAAGTGGAAGCCTCCAGGGCAAACGAAAAAGATTTGTAGAGTTTCAAACCATCGAATGGTATTTTAAAAATAAAAATTTTACGTGGTTTTTTTATATATTTGTTTTCAGCTTTTTTTTTTTTTGTTTACAGAGAGCGTTGCTGTTGGCAGAATCAAAGCATCTGAAGGAAGCTATAATCGCCCTCAAAAACTCTTTGGCATGAATTATTGTCGGCTTATTTTCCTTTTTTTTGTAGCAGTTTAATTTTAATGTTGTTATTTCCAGTTATTTCTTATAAGTTATTTTCATAAGAATATTCATCTGATTTTTTCTCACTGCTTACATTTCACGTTGTATTGTTGACTCCTGAAAATATTTTTGTTTGATAAAAAAATATTTTTGTTCAATTTGCAACTTTTTATGTAGCCAGTCAGTGTAATATTTTTCTGACGTTACATCAGAGAAGAAATTTCTGGTATTTTAAGTGAGGTGGAAGGAAATCAAGAATGTTGACATGAGTTTGAGAGAGGAAGAAGTCATGGTTGTTTGGCTTAAAGTTACAGGTTTTGCCAAGTGCTTCTTAGAAATACAGTCTGAGATGAAAGTTTTTCTTTTTAATGCAAGTTTAATTAAATATTTTTAGGATGTAATTGAGCAAGTTTGTTCTCTATTTCTTGAACAAGTTTACATTAGTTGCTTTTATTCTGATTTAAGAGCTGTTAATGCATGAATGAGGATTTAGATGGATGTTATGAAATACATAGAAATTTTAAAGCAATCCAGCAGCACGCTTCGTATGGCTGAAATAGAACAGCTGAAATCAATTTATGGGCAGGTGGTGGTTTCATTGTTCTCCAAGCATATGAGGTTGAAACCTCTGCCTACCGATGAATCATCTAATACTGAAACGAATGAGGAGCTGATGTCTCAGCTGTGGGATCTGTCCAACTGTTTAAATGAACTGAGGGTATGATTCTCTTACATAGCATGATATGGATTTAAGATAGGCCTCTTCGAGCATCCGTTAAAACTTTCCATTTTTCCCGCAAGAATTTTGGATATTTCGGGTCTCGGTCTTGTGTTAAATTTCGAAATTCTTTGTTTTGGAAAAAGTGGAATTGTTATTTATATTTTTAGAAAACGATCCCGAGTGATCATATAGACGATTGGCGAAGACATACTTCATTTACGCATCCACTGCGTTCCTTTATTCGTAAACATGCGAAGAGTGCCTATAGTACGGAATACAGTACACAAGCTTTCTTCAAATTTTACGAAATCTTAGTACGCTTCTCTCATCTTTGCTTTCCCTGCAGTGATGCAAAACACATTATTAGGTATAATGTTTTTTTGGGGAAGCAAGGTGTTGAAAATTTGACCGGATCGTTGAAGTAAGAAAGGTGGTTGCGATAATGATCAGTGTTGATTTTAAGCAGTTTGCAACTATAACATTTTCAAATTGGTAACATGATTGCATTTCAGAAGTTTCCATTTATGCGAATCACCCGGTGCCTTCATCTCTGCTCTAAACGTTTATTTAATATTACAGAAAAATAAGCTTTCTTGGCAGTGGAACGCAAACAGGCATGCTTTTTTTTGCTTCGAGTCTTGATTTATAATTGATTTCAAGCTTTTACTTATAAGTTAAAGCTACATCCTTAAAAGTAGAGCTGATATGAAGCTACTTCCTTAAAAATAGAGCTGATATGAATAACAGGGAGAAGTTTTCTAGGCTTCAATACGTTTGCTCCATACCAAAATTTGTAACAATTTTTTTAGGATTGAAAGAGAATATGAACAAGAGGGAAAGAGTAGATAGAAGATGGAAAACAAGGGAGAGAATGATAGTAAATTGAGAATGGAACTTCTGAAAATTGATTTATGACTGAAACTGCTGAGGGAAATATAGAACATAGCGAAAATCTGAAGTTGAAAATTTAAGTTTGAACCCACATTATGAATGGAATTCACCGTTTGACATGTTCTTGGATGATGAATTGATCACAAGTACATCTTCGAACTGGTTGTTTGGTCCTGACAACAGTGGTGATATACTGAAATGGACCAATGAATACATCAATGATATTGCTAAAAAAGTTGGCAAATTCTCTTTAATAACTGCAGATGGAAGCGTATACTGTCAGGTGATCTTATTTTCCACTGCTTACTTTTTATTGAAATATTGAAAGTATTTTAGAAATGTTGTAAACATGAGGAGGAATTATTGTACCGTTTTGTCTTTCTTTTCGAACTTTTTTTCTTTTTTTGCAACTGTTTTTTATCCAAAATTTCCTGTGCAAATTGCATAGAATTCTTATATGTATGTTATTAAAGTTCTATTCTGTTGAAAAGTTGAAAGCCTAGATCATTATCTGCATTTTTTGAAATTCTGAATCTTTAACTGTTTCTTGAAAACTTCGGATGAATAACTATCTTTTCAGGACAATCCGGCAGAGCAAGAACGTATCATCTTTCCATTGTTACAGAAAGAGATTGATATATCGTTGTCACTACTCCAAACAAATGGCACATTTATTGTAAAAATGTATACTGCATTTCTTAACGATACTGTAACACTGTTGAATCGTTTGCTTATGTGCTTCCATGAAGTACATGTCATAAAACCTTCCTGCAGTAAACCGGGGAATTCTGAGGTTAATATCAAATTTCGATTATTGAATTTTTGATTTCTTTCTCTTTATAACTTTTTCTTTTCGGAAAGTTTTATTAAGCAGTTTATTGTGATGAACGATATTATTTTAGGTTTACCTGCTGTGCGCAAGTTATACACCATGCGAACAACATAAAGAAGGAATAGAACTATTTACATCTTACCGAAAGGTTCTGGTGTTGTAGGAATTTCTTATCAAAATTCTAAAAATGTCCATTTATTAGCCTTTTTATTTTCAGATTTTGTTGGAATGTTCAAAGTTCTTTGTGGAACATCAGATGCAAATGATTTGGTTCAACATCGCAACTTTTGGTAAAATTGGGGTATTTTTTTCAGTTTTTTTTTCTGAAATAGCACTTTATTTTTTCATATCCCTTCATCCTTTCTTTTTTTTCATCCTGTTATTGTTTGTTTTTATTTTCGTTTAACCTACTTCAGAATGATTTGAAAAAATTTATTGAACAGAAGAAAATTCAAGCAGCAGGAATCTATGAGCAGATGATGACTACATCAAATTTTGAAAAGTTTGCTGCCGAACTTTTTTCATCTTCTTTTACTCTCCTTAAAAGGTAATTTTTCGCTATGATTACCATCAAAATACTTAGCATACTCCTCACATTTTAGTCAATCTAAAAGTTTTGTTATAAATTTGATAGCTTTTTCAAATCATTTATGTGCTTCAGACCCAATCCATGGAAATTTTCAAAGTTTGGTGGTTTCATCGAAGGACTGCGAAACATCACCACTGAAGAGGCGCATATTTTAATTGAAAATATGGTAAGTTAAAGGCAGTAATATTATTTTCAAATTGTTTTTGGGGTATATCATTGTGTAAGTAGACAATCTCAGATGCTTAAATCCCGAGGCGTTTTTGTTTTTAAAATGTATGGAAAATGAAGTTTTTCAGATGATTTGCGATTTCATGAACGGAAATAATGTTGCAGCAGAACAGAAATTTGACATATCGCTTTGTTGGATGTGCGACTCATGTCAGTGGGCCGGTGATTTTTGCACTAACAAATGCAGTTTGGAAGAGATCCTGAAAATAGGCGATGCGCCATCAGAAACGAACATAAAACATACACTTTTTTTAGAACCGAAGATTTTGGCATTGTTAAAATGCGCTTCTCTGGTAAAGTTTAATCTCTTTGATTCCTTACTGTTCGAATTTGTGTGCTTAGATTGAAAATATGGTAAATTAAAGTCAGTAATACTGAGAGATCTTGAGTAAAAAAAAAAAAATGTTTTAATTCATTTATAATCGATACGTATGCTTTTTTTTGATCTTCTGCTTGCTTAACTGTGCATTTGAGCTATATACTTTTTTATTTTCAAAAAATCAAAATTGATTTTCAGGAAATTCTAGATATCTGTTCTATTGTTTCTTCCTCTGCAGTTAATGTAAGTCTTGAAAGACAGGAAATGATGCTACAGCGCAACTCAGAGCTTGAAATCAGTTCTTCCATACTCAGATCTCAGTTTGATTGGATATCAATCCTTGAAGAAATGTTTTTTCATGCATCGAATTATCAGGTCATGCTACTTGTTGCGAATTGATTTTTCAATATAGAAATAGGAAACAATATTGTGTATAAGCAGTCTTTCTTTTAATAATTCTCAGAATCCTTTCTGTGGGGGAACAGATAATTTTAATATCTAACTAGCTTTTTATTTTCGGTCATGACACGAAATGGTTAAAAATCAAGTCCTTAATTGGGGAAAATAAAGTTTTGAAATTGAGGATGCTGCTGTAAAAAACTAAAGGAATTGTTAAAAGGATACACAACTTTTATACCCATGGTAAAAGTGATGGATTAGAAGGAAAATGGCTGTTATTTTACAGGACTTAAAGGTGCAAATAAAAATTCCTTTTTCGTCTTTAATGCTGACTCGCTTCACCGTCTCATTTATGGCATTCTGCTGTTTGTGTTATGAAAGTGTTGTATTGTTGTGTCCTGATGAGAATTCTCAATTGCCATCTAATCAGCTAATATGCTGTAGCGCAGTAAGCCTTTTTTATCCATCATGTAGACAGCTCCTTGATTTTCTTTGAAATAGATAGATTCATATTGCTTTGTAAAAAATGATTAGTGTGGCTGAGAGACAAAATCAGTTTTCCGATTAATGTTTTATATGTTCAAAAGTGTTGCTTTTTAAAACAGTATTTCTTCAATCTTTAGCGAAAGGATGTTGACAGATGCGCACAGCTTCTTCGTTATTTATCGGTGATCAGGGCGAGGTTATTAGGTTAGTCATCATCTGTCAGATGTTTCAAATCAGTTTCTAGAGAAAATCGAGAGGGTTTGGTAATAATTGTCTGTTAAGAAATGTGTATTTAAAGTGCAGAAAATGATGATGCATTTTCATGTTCAAATTAAGCTTTGGCTATGTAGGAGTGACATATCTAACTTCAGTTGCTTAAGCTTTAATACTTTTGCATAACAGCATATTTAAATGGCTCTTGAAATTTTGATAATTCATTCTAGATGTTATTCAAGACGGGTCGCGTATTTATCGATTTGTGCCAGAATGTCAATTCAGATGTGAACACTTTTACGCATCGATATTGCGTTACAATTCTTTTATAGCACGAAGAATGTTTACAAAGTGCAAGTTTTAATCGATTGTAATCATTTTTCATGCAATGATTTTCCACTTTTTTTTTTCATTGCGAAATTTTTCATTTTTCATTTTTTTCATTTTTTTTTTCATTACTTATTTCTATATTTCAGCAATAAAGATTTGGAATAAATGTAATTAAAGTTTACTCATTTTTAAAAGACATTCGGAGAGTGCAGTGCTACTGAATGTCCTGATATTTATACTCTTTTCCAGTAGATCACGTATATGAATTATTAAAATTTGGTGAGAATTAGAAAGAACAAGCTCTGTTTTAATTCCGCTCTGCTTTCTTCTTAGAGTATTTAAAAAAGATGAATCAGGCGCTTGAATTTCTTTATTCTGGAAGTATTTTTGTCTTGGAGCAGGGATGCTGAAAGCCGACGTTTTTTCTGACTCAGATATCTTAGAAAGTTGTGCAAAACATAAATTTTTGTCGTTATCAAAATTACAGATTTTGAAGAAATCAACAATTCGGAAATCGAAATTCACCAAGAAATTAAAATCTTTAAGATAGGAGCTGATGGTCTGAAGTAATTGCCTTTTAGTCAGAGGATCTTTTCAGTAGAAATAGAAATATTCCATGGAATTAGTATCTAAGAAATTCAAGTCCAAAAAAAAAAAATTCAAGTCCAGATCGGTAGAAAAAAGTAGAGGACAAAAGTGAAAGTTGTTTCTTTTGATTTTTGCTGTCGTCCCAGACTGTTTGTTGAGGTCGCTATCATGTCTCCATGCTAGTCGCGTCGATGGGATTACAATTTCGTCCTTCTGTCTACGGACGGCTATCTTTGAAATGTTGTGGCTCCTATGTTCATAAGTACAGTGTAAGGTGTAGTCTGCCTTGAGAAAAGATAAATGAATTTCTTGTTTTCGGAAGCATCCCAAACGAGATAATTCAAAAAGAGAAATAGATCAGCTCTGATAAATTAAAGATCACAATGCAGAATGCCATATAGTTCGGACCTCGTTTATTAGCCTTTCCAATGCTTCTATTCTGGACTTCACACATTAACAAGGGTGATCGGTAATTCTTTTTACGCCACGCTACGGTTTATCTTGGATCACTTCCAACTCCATTGCTTCTTCCTGAGGAGCTTGTGGCAAATCAGCATTCCGTACATGGTCGAAATATTTACGGCACTGATTGAATACGAAAAGTTGGTAAATGAAATAAAGACCAACAAGTATTATTGCAGTCTTGATCATTAATACTATCAAAAATCTTACAATGAATTGTTGTTGATGGCCTGAAACTGCCTCTCAATGGTTATGGAAAGTTAAGCTGTAATGGCATTTAAATTTTGCTTAGTGTTTTGTTTGCGAAATATTGATTAATGGTTGCGAATTGTAATTATTTAAGCTCCCCTCAAGATGTTTGAAGTTTGGTAGGATTAAAAGATTGTAGAAGACAATTTTTCGATGAGTCCTTTTTTCTTTTAATAGCAATAAGGACAGAAGATTACTAAAAAATTCGTATTTGATTAGGAGCAGAAACGAGTAAGTAAGATTAAGTGAAACTGAACTTTGAAAATGTCAAAAGGTGCATTTCCATTATAATGCAGTAGCATAATCTATTATTAGAAAAAGAAATAAAAAATAGGACCAATCTAGATATTTAGTAGCACTTTATTTTCTTGTTGGCTATCGGTTTCTGATTGTCTTTTATAGAATATGCAAAAATATACCTTGTCCAAATGTATCCAGAAATGTCTGCGTGCTAAATAACGCTGTTGTAAACAGAATGACTGTTCCAGATAACCAAATTAATATTGCTAAAGCCTAAAAAGGAAATCATTTTCTAGTTTATCCTTTCTTTCGAACTTATCATTTTCCCGCAAATAAAACGTAAATATTTCAAGGAATCGGGACTTCATTACTTCTAAAACAAATCATAAACGATTTTGTTTGAATTTTAAAGGAAATTATGTGATTTCAAATTACCGAATGTATGATAGCTGGCCATAGACAGGTAGCTTGTTTTTGTTGGAGAGCATAAATTGTTAACAAAAAATACAATATTGCTATCCAAACGATCATTATGCTCCATGGAAACAAAATGCCAAGTATGATCATCCAACAACTCATGCTGAGCATAAACATGAATTTTGCAACAGGCTATAAAATGACCATTAGGCATTTGAGATGATTTCGATTATTTGACTGGAAAAAATTTTTTAAATAAGGAACGTGATTTTGAAAAAATAAATTCGAAAAAAAGGAATGAGACCAAATTTCTTTATTTAGTTATTTAGTTTCTTTATAATGAGACTAAATAAGAAAATTTAGTCTCATTCCTTTCCTTATTTCATCTCCTCCTAACTAAACTGAAATCTTCGTTTTCTGCTGCACATGTATTTGTTACGGTGATAAGTGAAGCAGATGATAAAAGTTATAATTTTTTGTATAGTTCATGCTACTTTAAAAAAATAATGAAAATCTGTGGTAAGAATGAAATCGGAAACTCGTATAAAAGTATAAAGACGAACATAAACATGAAATTTATTATTGAAACATCGGAATGCTGGATTATTTGGTTCAACTTCGACTTTCTTAGACACTAGATTTGTGAAATATTCTTTAATTGGTATGCCGTGAATTTTCTTGTCCATCATTTTAATTAACTGCTACACATTTATTAACTGGCATTTGAAAACCTGCAATCATTAAAGTGTGATGGGTTCACATTTTCTCATAAACAGATTTGATTCATGGGACTGAGGAAAAAATGGAATCTTTTTGTCTGATGGAAAACGTTAAACACGAGCTATCCCAAAATTTAGTTTATTAGAGAAATTATAATTTAATATGAAATAGCACGAAGAAATTTTACCATCCACTTGAAAACACGGGTTCTCAGACGACCCTGAAATTTCAGAAAAAACGTAATATTATGCCCAATTTTGATAAATAAATGCTATGCAATAATGAGTATATCGAAATAGATGGAGAAATAATGATAAAAGTAAATAGAAAGTAAAAACCAGAAATACACTCTGCGAAATTTAAACTTCATTTAAAAAATGAAAACAGTAGTGGACGGTTTCCTCCCGTCATCGATCGACTTTAGAAAGAGAAGTTTTGATAGCAATCGCAAAATAACAAAAAATGTTAATGAATCAACGGTATACTTGTGATGAAATTGAAATTCCTTTCTCGCTTATTTATGTCCAACCCGTGTGATCTATCTAAATCAAGTTTCTTATTCTTTGTGAAAGTTGCGATAATTAGATCACATAATTCAGACTGAAGACATTCTTTTTCCTCTCCTAATTATTTTTTATTTCCTGACTAAAAAAGCTAAAACAGGCAATGAAAGCACTGCAATAATAAGAAACTGTTCAAAGTTCTCATCGATACACAAGTTTAAAAATTTCAAATCTGCTGCCATTCAAAATTCAAGATTAATTAAGTTAATAAATCCTAAAATTTGATAAAGTCTGAAAGTTAGAATGGATAAAAAATAAAAATTACAGCTAAAAAATGCAATTTCAATGCGATAAGATGGTTTAATTTTAACATCTTCACATCACATGTACACATTTCTAATGATTTATAGGTAGCATGAGCCATATGAAAATGCGGCTAACAAAGACAGAATGTATTGTGTATAACTGTCGATACTGATAACTGAAGAAATTATCATGTCATTAACGGAATTATCGGTCAAGCAATGTGTTTTCCATGAAAAAGGTATAACAACAGAATAAGCAGTGCATATTCTGACAAATTTTAGAAGCATTTGCTTGTCTTTATTCTGCACTATGGCTAGAAGGTACAACTTTTTGCGTTATCTTTGACGTAAAATAATCGGTTCTTAGCCTCGATTTTTACCTATACCCTGATCTACCTGTCTTATTAGTTCTATTCTTCATTATCATCTCAAAATATTTCTGTCGGATAAACGAGTGAAGAAAGAAGACGCAGAGTGTTTTCTATGTTTTTCTTGTTGGTGTGAAAAATCTCTAAATTTTCCTTATTATTTGTTAACTCGCATTATTTGTAGCACTTTTAGCATTAGCCTTTCCATTTTAATCTTATTAACTTCGAAGTTAAAGTTTGATGATTGAAGCAGTCTGAGATTTAAAAATATGTAGTATGCTTCAGCAGAAAATTATGTCACAAAGCGCAAAAATATTAGAATCATGCATATAGATAGATGTTCATATACATCCTTGTATAATTAACATTGCATCTGTGATGGTATGATTAGGCTTGCACTTATCGATGTACATAGAAAAGTCGGAAAATCAGCCAATATTATCTAAAGCAATGTGAGGTATAATAGGTAAATAATATCTCTGTCATAGTTGTATTCCTGAAATGTACCTGTAGATAAATCCGTTAACAGGCTGTACTTTCCATACTCTTTCCTATTCTACTAACCGAATTGACTCTTACTCTCCAAACTAGTAATGATGTCCGTCATCGTTGCAGACATCTGTAAAATATCAGTCAAAAAGAGAAGAGAAAGTTTAAACGTGACTTTAAAAAATATAAATTTTATAATGTTTTTATTCGGTCCGAAGGTAGAATTATATAATTTTGGTATACTTGATAAAATTTTTTCTGCTTTTAAATAAGCAGGACATTTTTTAAGATTGGAAAAAAGCCATAAAAGAAGTATATATATATAAATAACTGATATCATGGTAAGCAGTAAACAGTCAGCAGCTTATCAAAAACAAATACAATAACATGAGAACGCTGGAAATCGAAAACATCATTGTGACATGTCGTCCGGTATGATTACTGAGCGCTTTCTTGCCACTGACCTTGTTAGCACCGTTCTCTTCTTTCTCGCAAATCTGAAAAACATTTAAAATCTTAGAAATAGTAATATCAAAATATATTTAGTGCTTAAACAAATTTGTTACTCGGAGTAGTTCGAACTCAACATTTTGAAAAGCTATTTTCCATCTTAAGAATCTTAGTGAGTGGAAATCAATGTGTGCGCAAAACTCAATTAACT